ACTGAGAGATGCTAAACTTTTATCAAGATCAATTTTAATAATTCTTATAAGAAAAATCAGGAAGATTGGAAATTACTCCTCCCTATTGTGTGATCTTGAGAAAATTATTTAAGTATTGTCTTCATTTCCACAGCACTATCCTCATTATATATTGGGAAGATAAAATGAGATATTTATTGAGGGTTTTTGAGCACCTTGGGCCAGAAGAGCTACAGAAAACCAAGGTCTAATTATTTTCATATCCATGATTTCTCTTGCCATTTGCCTCTTGTTCTAGTCTCCTTGGAATAAAACAAAGTTTGTCATCACTTTCTGCTTAATAACCTTTAATGTGGTTAAAATTGCTATTCCCAAGCAGATTTTTTTCTTTTAAAGAAGAATTGCCTGAACTATAAAATAGCAACCTAGAGCTGTGAGTCAGCATTTTACTTACACACAAAATCAAAATGATTTAAAATAGGAAACACATAATTTTTTTTGAAAGATATATATATACCTCCTTGTAGAAACTTTGAGAAAACTGGAGTATGCAATTTTATGAATAGTTTATTATATTTCAATAAATGTATTTTGAATCAATATAGCAAAAGTTAAGGACAAAGAGCTCATTACCAAGCCAGTTATTGATTCTCAACTTCTAAAATAAAATAGTAGAGAAAGAATATAGCGAAATATGTGGGCTTTGTGTGTGTGTGTGTGTATGTGTGTGTGGTAAAAATGTTAAGTGTTTTAGGAACACTGGCCTAAGGAACTGGTAAGACCAAGAAATTTCAGCAGCTACTTAAGTTTATTCAAGTTAATTTCTTCATCTTTTTCATTATTAGGATTATTTGGTTTTTACTTTTTACTATTTAAAATATCTTTTTAAATCATATCATAGGAGTTTGCAAACAGACTATTATATTTTATTGATTTATTCTTTCAGTTTCTTATAGATCTTCCTCTCTTGCCTTTAGCTATCTGTCTTAACTTGGGCTGTCATATCAAAATACTATAAACTAAATGACTTAAACAGAAATTTATTTTCTCATAGCTCTGAAGGTTAGAAGTTTGAGACCAAGATGGCAGCATGGTCAGTTTCTGGTAAGGGTTCTTCCTGGCTTATAAATGGCCTCTTCTCACTACATCTTCACATGGTGGGGAGACAAGGAGCTAGTTCTCTGGTGTCTCTTCTCATGGGGGTGTTAATCCCTCATGAAGGCTCCACTCTTATGACCTCATTAACCCTAATTACACCCAAAGTGGCCCGTCTCCAAATACCATCATATTGGGGAACTTCAAAATATAAATTTTTTAAAAAATATATATTTTATTGATATTTTACAGAGAGGAGGAAGGGAGAGAGATAGAGAGCTAGAAATGTCGATGAGAGAGAAACATCGACCAGCTGCCTCCTGCACACCCCCTACCGGGGATGTGCCCGCAACCAAGGTACATGCCCTTGACCGGAATCGAACCTGGGACCTTTCAGTCCGCAGACCGACGCTCTACCAATGAGCCAAACCGGTTTCGGCTCAAAATATAAATTTTGATGTGGGTGGAGGTGGAGGAGGGAGAACAGAAACGTTCACTAATAGAAAAAATTACATGGGCTTCAAATCATTAAGTAGATAATACAGAAATGAACAAGTGAACTTGTTTTCCAAAAATTTCAGTAGAAAGTTTCCCTTTGTTTTTCTTTTATAGCTATCTAATTCAATAAGAAAGGAACTATCTTAAAAATTATAAACTAACAATACTTTCATGAAGCATACACTTTTTAAAATGAAAGAGAAGGAAAATCCAAGATGGCGGTGTAAACACCAAACTGCCACCTCACACAACAATTTTAAAACTACAACTAAAAGACAGAACGTCTATTACCCAGAGCCACAGGAGGGCTGGCTGAGTGGAAGTTCTACAACTAGGCGGAAAGAGAAAAGAGCATTCAGTGCACAAACGCTGAAAAGCTGAGGTGTGAGGGTGTGCATGCGCTATAGGCTGGTGGTGGATCCTGGCTGGTGGCAGGCGTTGCTTTCTTCAACCCGAGGGAGACAAGCTCCCTATTTCTTTGAAATCCAGTTTCTGGGGAGACGTGCAGGAACCAAACACCTATGGTGAGAAGCTGGACTGTCTGCCATCAGGTTGGAATGTGAATGTGGCTTGCTTGCAGAGCTGTGCAGAGGAATAATTGTTTGCTGCACTGGGGTGTGAGATGCAGGGATGCTGGCAGAGGTGCGGGACAGTGGGCTGCCAGCTATTGCTGTTTTCCACGCCCTAGCCTAGTGATGCCCTGAGACCCCGCCCTGCATAACCTATAAACCCACCCAAGCTCCAAGCAGCTGCTTTTGCACAGAATGGCCTTCACTATCGCCCTTAACCTAGCAAACTTGCAAACCGATTCAAACAGCTCCATAATCTACAAATCCCAAGTAGGGAGGAGAGGACTGTAGTTCTTACTGTAGCTCTTGCAGGGTGGCCTCAGATAGTAGCTGACCTGCACCCCATTGGAGATCCAGAAACCAGTGTTTCTAGTGGTTAGTGTGAAACACAGATTTCAATTCCACACATCCATAAGTGACACATTCTAGAGGCAGACTCAGTGAGTACCAAAGCCCCACTGAAACAAGGCCTGCACCATAAGCATGTCTCCAGCACAGAAATTCTTCCATTATAAACATAGTGGGTTCCCACAGCCAATTGGCCTGGAGGACAATTCCTCCCAGTGTACCAATAGCAATCAAGGTTTAACTACACCAAGCCTTTGCACTCAACCCACAAAGGGGTGTACTAAGACTGTCCACCTCAGGTGATTTGAGGAGGCTAAGGTACTGGCCCCTGTGGTTCACCTACCACACAAAGCCACTCATTCAACACAGGGAAGCAGCCAAAAGGCGGAGACACAGAGGCATGTCACAAAAGAAAAAAATGGAGGAAAGCAAACTATGGGATGACATAGAGTTCAAAACCACATTTATAAGGTTACTCAAGAATCTTCTAAAAACCAGAGAAACTTGAGACCTTCGAGGACCTTAATGAGAATGAAAAAAAAAAAAAAAAAAAAAAAAAGTAAAAAGACCAGTCAGAAATTAAGTATACACTGTCTGAAATAAAGAATATACAGAAACTCAACTATAGATCAATGTACCCCAAGAATCAAACCAAAGATCTTAAATATGAGGAAATAAAAAGCACCCAATGAAAAAAAAACAAAAAGAAAAAAGGATCCAAAAATATGAAGATAATGTAAGGAGCCTCTGGAACAACTTTAAGCATACCAACATCCAAATTTTTGGGGTCTCCAGGAGAAAATATTGAAAACCTATTTGAATAAATAATGCCAGAAAACTTTCCCTACCTGGTGAAAGAAATAGACTTACAAGTTCAGGCAGTGCACAGAACCCAAAACAAGAAAAACCAAAGAGGACCACACCAAGACACTTCATAATTAAAATGCCAAGGGCAAAAGACAAAGAGAGAATCTTGAAAGCAGTAAGAGAAAAACAGTTAGTTACCTACAAGGGAGTACTCATATGACTGTCAGCTGATTTCTCAACAGAAACTATGCAGGCCAGAAGGGAGTGGCAAGAAATATTCAAAGTGATGAAAAACAAGAATCTACAACCAAGATTACTCTCCCTAGCAAAGTTATCATTCAGAATTGAAGGTAAGATAAAGAGCTTCACAGATAAGAAAAAGCTAAAGGAGTTCATCACCACCAAACCAGGATTATATGAAATGCTGATGGGTATTCTTTACAAAGAGGAAGAAGAAGAAAAAGGTAAAGATAAAAATTATGAACACCAAAAAAATAAATAAATAAATACATACATACATACATACATACTTACCAACAAGTGAAGCTAAAAATCAAGTAAATAAAAAGTCTGGCCAAAACCAATTTGGCTCAGTGGATAGAGCGTCAACCTACGGACTGAAAGGTCCCAGGTTCGATTCCGGTCAAGGGAATGTACCTTGGTTGTGGGTACATCACCAGAAGGGGGTGTGCAGAAGGCAGCTGATCGATGTTTCTAACTTTCTATCCCTCTCTCTCCTCTCTGTAAAAAAACAATAAAGTATATTAAAAAAAAAAAAAAGTCTGAAGAACAGAATGGACTGGTGAATATAATGGAATCAGGGACATAGAAAGGGAGTGGACTGACAATTCTCAGGGGAAGGGGGTCTGAGGGGTGTGGGAAGAGACTTGACTAAAGTCTTACATCTATGGATGAAGACAGTGGTGGGGGGTAAGGGCATGAGGTGGGGTAGGGAATCAGGTGGAGGGGGAAAAAAAGAGGAACACCTGTAATAATCTGAACAATAAAGATTTATTTTTAAAAACTGAAAGAGAAAAAAATGAGACATACATTGTAATGGAAAAACTGAGAGAAAGAAAATAGCAACTCATTGACATAGTAAATAAAAACAACTTTTAATTCCTCATACCTTGTTCCTATATCAAATAATGATTCTTAAAATGACTTAAAAAGACTTGGATACCCTTGAAAAGTAATATTATAATACAAAGCAACATTTCTATACTACATTTTCATAGGTATTAAAAGTAATAGTAAATTGCATATTCTTTTATTCAAAATATAGAAAACTGATTAGTAAAACAAAACTGACAAGATTATCATTGGTTTGTGCTGGATTTTAACTAATTTTAACAGTTATTTTTATTACATACTACATAAATTTGAGGGCATAAAAATACATTTTTCTTAATTGCACAAAACATACAGCCTAGAACATTTCCACAGTGACCATAAAGTGAATGAAAGTCGAACGTCTCAAGTCGAAGTGTAGGGGAAAGCAGAATGAAAGGTGACTGAGATCCAGAGTACAAGAGATTGGCAGGTTCATTCAATTAGCAAGTTGCAGAGTTATGGATGGGACCAGGATTTTCTTGTCTAAAAATGCTTCAGATTATCATATTCAAGAAGAAAGGGGACAGGGGGAATCTAATTCTAGTCCAGATCACCTCACACCAGGAATCATCTGTAGAGAGTTTTGATTTCTCAAAACTCAATCAGGTGTGTGTATGGTCCATTGGTATCCAGCTTTAGCACCTGCCTGTTCCCGTAAGTGCCATGTTCCACCACCACCCCAGCTTCGGCACACTTGCTGTTCGCCGCCAATTCCTTTTCACAGAGAAGCACAAATTGGGAATAGAGTTCTAACCCTTCTTCTTTCCCAGAGTTAGAGTGATACTGCATGCTTCTTCCTTTCACTTTCCCCCCAAGGGTGGCTTGAGGAATGATAAGAATGTTGCCAGGTAGATCCAATATGGAGACGAGCTTGCCATTTTCAGTTTCACTTAATTTCACATTCAACAGAGTATTCACTGGGTGGGGAAGAAAGGAAAAATGTTTAGAAGTGAAAAACAAATGGAGGAAAGAAAGCCAACAATTCTCTAGTCAGCAAATCTCATTATTTAAAACCCAGTTTTTCAGTTCATGCTTTTTACCCAAAGTCTCTATTTAGATTTTAAAAACTGCTTCATTAAGCTAAAAGATCAAAGAATGAAAAGCAAGGCAAATTTCAAGCAGAAAATGGCATAAAGCTTTAAATGTGACTTGGCGGTTAAGATCTCCTAACAATAAGTTTATCCGGAAAGAATTAAAATAACTGTATACTGAAACCTCAAAATAAAGGGTGTCCCCAAAAATGTGTAACACACTTGGAATGATTAAAAAGCCAGTTTATTTACATAGAGTTTATTTTTAAAGTTTAAAAGAATCTACAAAGATGAATACTTTTTTTTTTTTTTTTGTCAATGCCTGTTTTCAAACTGATGGCCTTTCTGGTCCAGGCACTGCTGATAACTTGAAGCAATGGAATAAAAAACATCAAGAATCATTTCGTTCAATGTTTGTGTGCTCTAAATTTGTGTTGCCAGGTTTTGTGCTACAAACTTTATCTTTTATGTATCCCCATAATAAAAGTATAGTGATGCTTTAGGATAAATTCTCTTTGTTCAAAGCTTAGTCTGGCTTCCTGCATTATTTCAAATCACTTAAATCTGAAAAAAAGTGAAAATTAGGTGCTTTGTCAGCTGATAAAGTGTGTATACTTTTTTTTTTTTTTTTTTTTTTTTAGAACATCCTATATTGTTGCCCCAGGAGGATACATGAGAAGATTTGCCTTCTTGTTCCTTTTTATATTTCATAAGCAAATAGTATTAAAAAATACAGTGATAAATCCTCCTCTATAAAGCCACAAATTCTGCTAGAGGCCCGATGCACGAAATTCATGCAAGAGTAGGCCTTCCTCCCCCCAGGTGCCAGCAGCGGTTTCCCTCTGGCACTCAGAACCTGGGCTTCCCTCGTAGCCCAGCTTCATCCAGAAGGTCATCCGGAAGGACGTCTGGTCTAATTAGCATATTTTCCTTTTTTAAATTATAGATATTAGCCCTGGCCAGGTAGCTCAGTTGTTCAGAGTGTTGTAAAACTCATACTCCAATAATCTGGCTTGAAAAAGTATGCTTTCTGGTGGGCTGCTCAATGTTTTCAACATCATGGGGTCTGTAGTAAATATTACTAAGGATTCAGTATGATTGCCTCACCCGACAAATCAGGAAATTAATCTGGTAAAAATCTGCCAAGGTGACCATCCAAATGAATTTTTATCAATTTTCTTTCTTTTTTCTTTTTTTAATCCTCACTGGAGGATATGTGTGTTTTTTAAAATTGATTTGAGAGAGAGACGAAAGAGAAGGAGAGAGAGAAACATGGATGTGAGAGAGAAACAATGATTGGTTGCCTCCTGTATACACCCCAACAGGGGATGGAACCCACAACCTAGGTATGTGCCCTGACCAGCAATCGAACCTGCAACCTTTTTGGTGCATGGGATGATGCTCCAACCAAATGTGCCCCTGGCCAGGGCAAGCACTATCAATTTTCACTTAACTTACACCTATTTTAAACTATCACTGCTGTTCTCCATTACAAATAGGACTTTGCTGCATAGACTGACTGCTTCTAAGGAAACTGTAACTCTCCAGAGCACTTCATTCCAGTGGAACGCACCACCTAGCTATTCAGGCCTCAGGCTAGTAACAGAGGTAATTTTGGAATACAAGGCCAGAGAGGTTAGTATAATTTTTTTCTGAGGAAAGTACAATTTATTATACTTCTACACACCTACCTCTAGAGGCTATAATTGAGAATTCATTTAATGTTATTGGTATACAAATATCAGTATGCACAAATACCAGTATGCAGAAATAAATATAATATAAATACAAACTGTCAGTAAGTGGAATTAAAATGAGGTAATGAATTAATGGCATGTTGCAAACTCAACGATCCCAAGACAGGTTATCAATCAAGTATCTCTAATGATGTAAACAGAAAGTTCAGTTTTGACAGGTCCCTAGATCTCAGGCCAATTATATTGAAGATGAATTGAGGAAGATGTGGCACATCTGCTAGGCATGCTATTTCAGACTTTCTGGAGATAACTGGTTGTTACGTTCCCAAGGGCACATGATTTGATTGGAAAGATCTGAATCCATGTAATAAGTATGAGGTGGGGTTTAAGAGAATCCCATCATACAGGCTTCCTTTGCCTTCTGGAATAGAGGGAAATACAAGCTAATGCTATCCATAATAGATGGGCTTATTTTGCTTATAACTGACACGAGCAGAATGTGATTCTTACAGTCATAGTTCTTTACTGAGGATTATGATATATAAAGCTTTGTGTTAAACTATTCATTAGAAGAGTTAAGGTGAACCTCCTCAGTGTTTGTAATTCACCACAACTTATACATGTATTCAAAGTGAACTCAGGAGGATATTTTTGGAAGCATACAGGATTTGACTACTATAAAACAAAATGCATCTTGGATGTGGTTGGTTCATTTCATCCTATAACTTAAGATCCATTTAAAAAATATATAAAAACAGCCCTAACCAGTTTGGCCCAGTGGATAGAGCGTCAGCCTGTGAACTCAAGGGTCCCAGGTTCTATTCTGGTCAAAGGCAAGTACCTTGGTTGTGGGCACATAAACAGTAAGGGAGTGTGCAGGAAGCAGCTGATCAATGTTTCTCTCTCATCGATGTTTCTAACTTTCTATCCCTCTCCCTTCCTCTCTGTAAAAAATCAATAAAATATGTTTAAATATATATATATATAGCCGAGACCGGTTTGACTCAATGGATAGGGCGTCGGCTTGGGGACTGAAAGGTCCTGGGTTCGATTCTGGTCAAGGGCATGTACATTGGTTGCGGGCACATCCCCGGTAGGGGTTATGTGGGAGGCAGCTGATTGATGATTCTCTCTCATCGATGTTTCTAACTCTCTATCCCTCTCTCTTCCTCTATGTAAAAAATCAATAAAATATTAAAAAAATAAAATAAAATAAACAAAGAACCAGCTTAAAAAACACACACACACAGACACACGCACACACACACACACACACACACACACACACACACAACTTTAGGACATTAATCTTACATCACAATGACAAAAATCCTCTTCCTGTTCTTGAAGATTTCTACTATACTATTTTATGATTAATAAAGATTTAATTCAAGGCAAAATATTAACTCAGAAAGTAGACAGAATGTATAATTCCCAATTAGGTTCTGGTAAATAACCCTTTATAACAGGAGCCCTTATTTCATGTTCTCTAAGCTCCCTATTATCCTGCAGATTAAAATTTTAAACCATTACAGTTTCTAGCTTTCCATTCCCACCTATTGTAGGTCCCTTAAGTCTAGTTTTAATCCTTGGACAAATTGTCAAACATGTTCGATGTCTCAGTATAAAATTCCCTCTAGGAGTTTTAGCTGTTAGTTTAAGCTGTTCTTCAATGATCTATTTACCCTGGAGATCCACTACCCGAAGCTCTTTAGTTTAGCTTCTGCATGCTTCAACTACCCATTTGTGTAATTTATGTCATATTAATCAAACTAATGGGTACTGTCCTTCATTCATCAAGAAAATATAACCTGTCCCCAATTTGGGGATAGCACCATTATTTTAGAGTTTTGGGGGGGCATAATCATTATATCAAATACTGTCTTGAGACTACATGAATGTAAATATCACAAAGAATGGGCAATGCTATGGACCATCCAGTACACTGAAAGGCTGCAGGCAGGTCAATTATTGTTCAGAGAGCTTAAACATTGCCTCTGCTTTCTCTGCCCCTGGATGATTTGGATGTAATGACACTGAGCTTGGTTCAATAATCAGATGTATTTATACAAATTTTCTACAAATAAATGCATAAAGCGTTAATATAAATTCTCCCATAATCATGATGCCAACCTGAGCTGTCCAAATTTGAAGGGGCCACATCTTATGCATCCCATGTCACCTACATGCTCCTGATAGGGATTCTGGGAGATAAAAAAAAAAACAACTATATTACAAAATGCAGCATCTGTTTCTCCCTGTACGTGGCCATCCTGATTTCAACAAGTTTCTGTATCCCTGGCTGAATCTCAGTGGGGTGTGTGTGTGTGCGCTGCATATAGTTTAAAAGAATTCCATTACACTCCTTAATTTTAAACTTTGGAATAGGCAAACAGCTAAAGTCAACAACAGTTCAGAATTAAGTCATTTACAACCTCCCAGTAAATTTAAGATTGTGCCTTTTGCCCTATCTGGAAACTTATCTATCTATTGCTACACATTCTCACTCAAAAAAGAAACAACATCAAGACATACCCATTTTTGGAAGAAGTTCTTTATCAGCTCCCTTGAAAAAGCACACGTAGATCACTAATCCTCTCTGAATCTACAAGAAATCACCACAGTAAACACAGATTAGAAAGAAAATTCTATGTAGAGATAAAGAGGGGAGTGGATAAAATTTCACAACTGTTACAGATGTAAAGTTTAAAGGCAAAAGAGAAGTAGGTTTTTACAATATCGATTTCTTAAATATGCTGAGAAAACAAAATCTTTCCAGTATTCAATCTCAATTATTTGTTTCAGAAAATTAAGTTTAAAATACAGCCAACAGAGTGAAGAACACAAGTTTTACCTTTAACATTTACTTCTCATCAAAATCATTAGACTATGAATTAGTTTCCTCCCCCTAAGTAAGACTGACAGACACATTTAGTTTGCAGGGCCCCATTTATTCAACACCAAATGAATGTGTATTATATCTCATATACCTAGCTGATGACATCATCACTCTATTCCTCCTGAATAGATCATGAAATTACTTGCAGATCATAAAAATAAGGGTCTGATTTTATTTCACTAAACTCCAAGAAACCTCCCAACCATTTCTTGTTATTGTTAATGCTTTAAACAAACATCGTCATTAGGCTTTGGAAACTGCATTTATGATACTAAGTTCTACATCACGAAGTTGTTACGAGGATCGTAAGCTATTTGTTTTATATAATGACTTGGATATTTCTTTATGTTTTATTTTTATTTTAAAATATATTTTATTGATGTTTTTACAGAGAGGAAGGGTGAGGGATAGAGAGTTAGAAACATCAATGAGAGAGAAACATTGATCAGCTGCCTACTGCACTCCCCCCAACTGGGGATGTGTCCACAACCAAGGTACATGCCCTTGACCAGAATCGAACCTGGGACCCTTGAGTCTCCAGGCCAACACTCTATCCATTGAGCCAAGCCGGTTAGGGCCCAATAATAGATCTTAAATTATGACCTACAAATTCCCCTGTTCAAGTCAGAATCACTTGCCTTGCAGCTTCATTCAGTATAAACATATAAAATATATATAAAAGTACAGATATTTCTCACTGTAGCTTAAAACAAGTTCACCTCCTAAGAAGGAAAACATTAATTTGTGACAGCAAAGCTCTACATAAATGAAACTAAAAATGCAAAATAACCTTCAAATCTTTTGACAATTAAAACAAGTTTTTTAAAAATTAGAACTTTTGATAATAGAATTGGGATGCTTGAGAAAGAGAAGAGAATTTACTTTTTAACTATCTCTTTATACTAATTTAACCATGAGTAGGAGTGAAAAAGAAAGATTTAAAATAGATTTAAAGTTAGTAAGTGCAAACTGATAGTTTGAAAGGCTGCTAAAATATTTGTGGTTTTGCATAAGGAAATGTGGCATGAAAAAAGCATGGCAGAAATCTAAAGGATTACCAGTTTGGGATTTACTGTCCCATGAGGCAACTATAAAAACAGTCAATTCTCTGGATAAGATGGCAAATATCCATCTATCTATCTATTAATATATAAAACCCTAATATGCAAATCGACTGACTAGTAGAATGACTGGTTGCTATGATGCACACTGAGCACCAGGGGACAGACACTCAACGCAGGAGCTGCCCCAGCCCACAGGTCCTAACTGGCTGCAGCAGAGGGTGGGGAGATTTGGAAAGGGGAGAGGGGCAGTGCTGGCAAGAAGATATCATGCCAGCCAAGGCAGGTGCAAGCGCCCCCGCCCCATCACCCCACAATTGCCCCACAGATCTGCCCTGATCGCCAGCCAGGCCTAGGGACTCCACTGGTGCCACAAATTTTGTGTACTGGGCCTCTAGTAAAGAGAATAAAATTTCAATATATGAAAGAGAAATCAAGATCTCAGAAAAGGCCACAACAAAAACAAGAAGAAACACGAATATTTGAGAAAGCAAAAGGGAGGGGGAAATATAGGAATGTTTATAAGTATTTCCAACTTGGCAGAGGGTAACAGATTCTGATTTAAGAAAAATCAGCCACATATCATCGTTTATAGGCAGTATTTAAAATAATGACTTTGATTGTGTTAAGGAATGCTAGATCTGTGACCAATTCGGCAGGAAATGCGATGCTCCTCTATTAAAGTTTCTGAGTACCTCTAAAAAGTCTTCATTATAAACTAACATTTCTCTCATTTCATCTTACTCCCAAAATAACTTTCTTGGAAAAAATATCACTTCTATGTTGACCCAGCCGCTGTCAACATAAAGGGAAAATCAAGTCAAAACAGACCTTTAATAATACTTGCAACAAATTTAACCAACAAACTCGGACCATCTCAGCCCAGCAATGCCGAGGGCTGGAGAAGGCTCTTTTAAAGCAAGTGATCTGGGACAACCAGGTATCCAGTCCACCCAGACTGCGGTGAGTGCAAGTTCAAACACCCGCGGGCCTGGGCTGGGGACAAGCTCCGCCTCCGGAGGCGGAAGGCGGAGGGAGAAGGGGCGGGGCCGAGGCGCGGGGCGGGGCCAGGCCGGCCTCTGAGGGCAGGCTGATTGGGCAGACCGGCCGGAAGTCCCGAGCCGCCCCGCAACAGGTGCTGGGCCACGTGGCCGCCCTAAGAGAGACATGGGGAGAAGGGGGCGAACCAGGCGCCGAGACCGCGCGGGAAGGACCGCCCCCCTGCGCCCGGGGATAAGGGGAGCACTGGGCTCGCTTTACCTCCACCCACTGGGCCGCGGAGTCCGCCTCGGCGGGGCGCACTTGCAGCCGGGCGTGCAGGCACTGCTGCAGGAGCGCCCGGGCCTGCGGCGGCCGGCCGCCGTCAGCCATGGCTGCGCCCGCGCGGCCACCCCACCGGTTCCGGCCGCACGTCGTGCAGACCGTGCCCTCCGCGCGCAGGCAGGGCGGCGGGAGTGGCGTCCTGATGGCTGGGGCCCCGCCCTCACGGGGCGTGGCCTCTACCTGGCCCTGGGCTGACTCCTGTGAGGTCTTCTAAGAGGATGTAGGCACCTACCTGCTTCTCTAGTAGGTGCCCAATGTATTTTTTTCCCTTCTTTTTAAATATATTTTATTGATTTTTTACAGAGAAGAAGAAGAGAGAGAGAGAGTTAGGAACATCGATGAGAGAGAATCATCGATCAGCTGCCTCCTGCACACCCCGCACTGGGGATGTACCCGCAACCAAAGTACATGCCCTTGACCAGAATCAAACCTGGGACCCTTCAATCTTCAGACCGACGCTCTATCCACTGGGCCAAACCAATTTCAACCCAGTGTATGTTTTTAAACGAGTGAAAAGACTTATTAGATCGGCTCCCTAAATTTTCAGACATTGAAAAAAATTAAATCTGCTTAAATCCATATTGTGCCCATATTAGGCCATGAAGATAAGTAAATAGAATCAGTTGAATCATAAAATGTAAGCGGAGATGAAACTAAAAGCTATAACTTTCAAAAAAAAATATTTTACCCCAAACAATAAAACAACGCTGCCTCCACTGTAAGGATGCTAACAAATCATTCTGATGCTGCAGTTGTGGGAAAGTTTTGGTATGCTATGTGAATACACATTTGGAGATCAATCCTTTATTTAAAAAATTTTTTAAGTTCTCAACCGAGGATCTTTTTTTCATTGATTCTTGGAGAGAGAAACATCTATCCATGTACATGCCCTTGACCAAAATTGAGCCCAGGACTCCTCAGTCTAAGGTTCTACCCACTGAGCCAAACTGCCTAGGGCTGGAGATCAATCCTTTAGAAAACCTTGCTAAAAATATTCTTACCCAAGAATGTGAGGGGTTGTTAATAAACGTTTTAACTTGCTACAAATACAAAAATAAAACGACATACAGGCACACACTGATATTCAATTCTGCGATGTTTTCTGTAAGTAGAATTTAAATGAAATTAACCAAGGGCTTGATTTCCTTTCCCACATAACATATTCCTTGAACATCTATCGGATTAGCATTATTTTTCTACGGGCTGGGAGGATTTAGAGGAGAAATAATAGTGTTACCCTGATTGCATTACCCAGGTCATTGATTTGTGCTGTTGGCACAATGTGCCTATACATTCGGGCCTGTTGTTTTTTAGAAGGTGACATCACTGATAGTGTTGCTATCCATACAAAGTAGTGTGGTGGAAGAAAATAATCCATGCATAATCAACAGTCTTTTCTACACAAAATTGAAGCTGCCTGTTTGCTGGTTATCTTGCAGCTGCCTCATACTTGTTGCAGAAAACGAACAGCAAAATCTCACATTATCTCTGATTGCTGCATTGCAGGGGTTGGCATTTTAAAACATTCATTGACATTTGGAAAGCACAGACAAGTTACATTGTCTGTACCTTTTTAAAATTGTTTAAAGTATTACATGTCTCAACCCCCCCCCCCATTTGCTCCCTCAAACACTGCCACCCCAGAGGGCAAGCCCCCACTGCCTCAGTGTGTGTGTCCATTGGTTATGCTAATATGCATGCATACAAGTCCTTTGGTTGATCTCTACCCTCCCTCCCACCCCCCTGCCTTCTCTCTGAGGCTGACAGTGTCTGCACCTTTATGTCATTATAATTATGAAGTCTCTTTTCTTTTTCACTTCCAGACTCAAGTTTTATAAGGCATAAGGAATTTTCACATAGAGCCCTTAGCATTGACCTAAAGTCAGAAAGGACTTTGATGTCTGTTTGTATATGGGGACAGGAGTTAGGGAGGTCTTTTGAAAATAGGGTATGTGGTTACCAGAGATCTTTCCATAATGAAGGGACTTTAGCAAAGTGGAAAATAATTCCTGTGAATAGGTAGAGTCTGGTTGGTAATGGTTAGCATCTTAAAGATCACCAATTACTTTAAACATTTCTTCCTCTTGGCAGGGATCTATGGGACACTACTATAGGTAGTACAATAATAGGCTGTGGCTCACTTATTTTTCCTTCTTCCTGCAGAGGGCAGTAGATAGTAGGCACCGAAGAGAAAGTATTTATTTTCTCTATTTTATTTATTTATTTATTTTTGAGCATCTAGACTCATTCCACAAAGAATTTAAGAAGGAAAGACATACATACACTAAAATAGTAAAATGTTAGGAGTAAACCAAATGGAATTTTGTAAAGTAAATCATAATGGAGGAAATAAATAAGATTAGTTCTTGACTATAGTACTGAGATGATAAAGTATGTAGCAAAGTTTCCACAGAAACATAACTTTAATTTTTTAATATATTTTTATTGATTTTTTACAGAGAAGGAAGAGGGATAGAGAGCTAGAAACGTTGATGAGAGAGAAACATTGACCAGCTGCCTCTTGCACACCCTACCGGGGATGTGCCTGCAGCCGAGGTACATGCCCTTGACCAAAATCAAACTCGGGACCCTTAAGTCCGCAGGCCAACGCTCTATCCACTGAGCTAAACCGGTTTTGGCATAACTTTAATTTTTGTTACAAAACATTATGTCCATAGCATGTAATGTCATGAAGGAGCATGTTGTACAATTTCCTTCATGTTAGAAATCAAAGGCAAAACATAGCATTAAGAAAGGAAGAAGTGGCCGAAACCGGTTTGGCTCAGCGGTAGAGCATCGGTCTGCGGACTGAAAGGTCCCAGGTTCGATTCTGGTCAAGGACATGTACTTAACAGCCAAAATCAGTTTGGCTCAGTGGATAGAGCGTTGGCTTGCACTCTGAAAGGTCCCAGGTTTGATTCCGGTCAAGGGCATGTACGTTGGTTGCGGGCACATCCCCGGTAGGGGGTGTGCAAGAGGCAGCTGGTCGATGTTTCTCTCTTATCAACGTTTCTAGCTCTCTATCTCTCTCCCTTCCTCTCTGTAAAAAATCGATAAAATATATTTAAAAAAAAGAATAATACTACTTATTAAAAAAAAAGAAGAAGAAGAAAGGAAGGAAGAAGTGATTCACTTGGACATAGAGAGCTTTGCCTCCTGAGTATATAAGAAATCAGTCTGGGCAGGAATAGATCTCACAGCTCTACAATGCTGAAAGGGGACCCTATGGATTATGGATTAATTATTAATGCATTCTAGGCCCCCTGCAATGGTAGAATAATTTACTTAGAGGTGTTTTTTCAAAATGAATTAATTATTTTTTGGTGTTAATCCTTCCCAGAGGATATGTTTTTCCCGTTGACTTTTTTTTTTTTAAGAGAGAGTGGAAGGGAGGGAGGTGTGGGAGATAGAGAAACATTGATGTGAGAGACACATCAGTTGGTTGCCTCCTGCATGCACTCCAACCAGGGTGAGCGTATAACCTGCAACCCAAGTTATGTGCTGGGTGACTCAGGAGACCCTTCGGTGTGCGGTGCATGCTCAAACCACTAAGCAACACCCGACAGGATTATTTAGAGGTTTTAAGTTATTTAAATAATCCAAGTTGGCTGTCCCAAATTTTAATATTCAAAAGTATTCCACAAATATGAAAGATTTGAGAACAATTTCTAAAAAATCTTTACAATTGATGCTAAGCTTCCTGATTGTAAAGAGGAAAGGAAAGAGAAAGGAACTATATTCTGTTTCATAGTCTTCAAAATAAGCAGAAGTTTTACTGAGATTTAGCTCTAAAATGAGCCTCTTATCTGAGACCTGACCTAAGAGTATGCTAATCAGTAGAAGTGCTACTGGAAGAGGTAGATGTTTCATCTTAGGGGAGGCTGCCCCCCCCCACTTCAAAGCTCAGAGATTTAGTTCTTCCATGCTCAGGGAGGTGATTGGGTTCTTAGAAATCGGTTCACACTAACTAAAATGCACATGAATTGGGGTAGGACCAGAATACTAATTTATTCATTTATAAGAAATGTTGCTGTGACTGGAGCAGAAGTTCTCACATAGGGTGCGATCAGCATATTTCCCCTTGTGGCCTCTTTACTAATTTGTATGAGAGAGAGATGCTCTTTTACCAGGCATCGAAACTGAGGTGAGAAAGACCCACGTTAAAGTGGCTTCAAGCCACTTGCCACATGCATTAAGACGGAGGAAAGAGGAAACAAACAGATTCAAATAAGAGCCTGAAATAAAAAGTGTAAGGGCAAATATTCCAAACCACAACCATATATTGGTCACGGAGCCTCTTCTTACAGAGGCAGAAACTGGGGCCACAAGGGTCAATACAGTTGAATCCCCTTCGTATGGAAATGTGAGGCTTGGGAAAATGCGAGTTTCCACCTAAAAGCTGAGTCTGTCTTCCGCATGGGTCGTTTGTGCAACCAGGTGGGGGATGGAAGTTAGTTTGGCACTTTGTATTGATTGCTCTTTTGTTCAGTCAATTTTTTAAAAAATTCTTATTTCATTACTGCACCATAAGCTGGTGTGTTGCCTAGGTAACATAATATAGCAAGGGCTTTTTACTCTAAGGCAATGATGTATCTCTTTGGCAGTCTGTAGGACTTCCTCAGGGTAGGCTGATGAATTATCTTGACATTTGAGTTATTTTTCATTCATAGTATTGTGATAACTTAGCAAAGTGATGCATAACCTTTTGAATATTTGTCTACTTCTGTTGGTTGTTTTATCAAGTTAGGCCATCCTGTTGTAAGGCCTTTTTATAATTTTGCGTGCTCTGTAAGAAAAAAATTGTGAAATATTTTGAAATGGGCAAGAGATTTCCGAATATCCTTTGACTGGAATGCTAACATCTCTGGAGATTACCTGATAGCCATATGGGGCTTCATAGGATTTGTCTTTGACTAGACTGTCTTACAATTTATAGAGATAGAAGTTAACTTTTTAATCATTGATAGTAAGCAAATTGTTTCTATCATGCTGAAACCAGTTTGGCTCAGTGGATAGAGCGTTGGCCTGGGGACTGAAAGGTCCCGGGT